TTGAATGGCCCAGCCAGAGCCCCGACTTAAACCCAATTGAGCATCTTTGGAGAGACCTGAAAATGGCTGTCCACCAACGTTTACCATCCCACCTGACAGAACTGGAGAGGATCTGCAAGGAGGAATGGCAGAGGATCCCCAAATGCAGGTGTGAAAAACTTGTTGCATCATTCCCAAAAAGACTTATGGCTGTATTAGCTCAAAGGGGTGCTTCTACTAAATGCTGAGCAAAGGGTCTGAATACTTATGACCATGTGATATTTCAGGTTCTTTTTTAATAAATCTGCAAAAATGTCAAAAATTCTGTGTTTTTCTGTCAAAACTGGGGTGCTGTGTGTACATTAATGAGGAAAAAATGAACTTAAATGATTTTAGCATATGGCTGCCATATAACAAAGAGTGAAAAATTTAAAGGGGTCTGAATACTTTCCGTACCCACTGTATGTTTCACCTGCCTTTTCTGTATTAGCTGTAGCAGGCAAAGTGAAGCACTATCAAGTTGGCCAGACTTGATTCAAAACCGCTTTTCAGAAATCCAATGGGTGGCGTCACGGTGCGCTTGTCCAGCTTTTATATACAGTCACCGGTTTGAACACACTTCCCATTGATTTGACTGGAGGTGCATGTCACCATGCCACATGAAGTGTGGCCACAAAAGTAACTTTGTTTCTAGTGAAGCTGATTATTTTTAAAAACAACTCCATCTTGACTTCAAGACAAAAATATGGTGTCAACACAGATCAGTGTTAGACTGCGCCTCTGATACACAGCAATATTTCTGTGTGTAAAGCAGAGTTGACACAATATTTTATCATTATTCATTTTCTAACAATATAAACAGTGTTTACTGAGCTGTCTTGCCTGAAAAAGGATGTATGCTTGCACTGGGTTGTACTGCACAAGTAGGAATAGCTCTCTCTCTTTTCATTATTAAATATGTACCCAAAGTCCCTCTTCCTTGACATCATGCATTGCACTGGACTACAGAGTATATGTGTGTTTGCACAGTGGCCTTATGCATACTTAATGTCTGTCTCTCTAGGCCCTTGGACTGTTAATGGGCCCAGCAAGGCTATTTTACAGAGGGAGCACAGCTATCTCAGAGCTCTACAGACCTGCTGATCTGCAGCACACACACACAGTGGAAAGGGTTACTGCAACGATGTGCTGCCACACTGAAACACAACTTTACATTTAAGTCATTACAAGCACCTATCATTGATACATGAGTGATTCACCTAATACAAATATGTCTCCTGTTTACACAATTACATAAGATGTCCCAATGTATTTAACAGGGGTGTAACGATAGATTCGTCGATCAAACACCGCACAATTTAATGACATTGATGCAAAACGTAAACACTGTTTTGTGTGCTTTTATTTTGACAGTCAGCCAAAGTTCCTCACAGCAGTACAGGAGGCCAGAGCTAAAGTACCTATAAAAAGTATTCACCTCCTTGGCTGTTTTACCCTTTTATTGATTTTATAAATCAATCATGGTCAATATAATTTGACATTAATTTAATTTGTAGAAACCCGTTTTCACTTTGACATTAAAGAGTTTTTTGTAATTTTTTTTTGTCAAAAAAAGCCTAATTATATTGACCATGATCTCCAAGAGGAGATCGTTGGTGACTTTATCCAGTGCAGTTTCTGTACTATGATGGACTCTAAATCCTGACTGAAAGTCCTCATACAAATCATTCTTGCGCAAATGGTCACATAACTGCTTTGCAACAGCTTTTTCAAGGATTTTAGAAATAAACAGGAGATTGGATACTGGTCTATAATTAGCCAGAAAACCTGGGTCAAGAGTAGGCTTTTTGAGTAGAGTAGAGATTTAATTACAACAACCTTAAAAGCCTTTAACATGGTGAAATTTAACTGCCAGAGTTGAAATGGAGATTGGTATAACATTTCATAACCACACAAAGCTGCTGTGGCATGACCTTAAAAAGGCAGTTCATGCCCGAAAACCCTCCAATGTGGCTGACTTACAACAATTCTGCCAAGATGAGTGGGCCAAAATTCCTCCACAGCGCTGTGGCAGACTCATGGCAAGTTATCGAAAACGCTTGATTGCAGTTGTTGCTGCTAAGGGTGGCCCAACCAGTTATTCGGTTTAGGGGGCAAACACTTATTCACACAGGGCTTTGTAGTTTTGGATTTTGTTTTCCCTTAATAATAAAAACCTTCATTTAAAAACTGCATGATGTGTTTACTTGTGTTATCGTTGACTAATATTTAAATTTGTTTGATGATCTGAAACATTACAGTGTGACAAACATGCAAAAAGATAAGAAATCAGTAAGGGGGCAAATACTTTTTCACACCACTGTATGTGACTCCGAATGCACCGAACACAAACTGTGTTGTAACTCTGGACCAAAACAGTTTTCTAAAGGGCCACAGGAAGGAAACAGGGCATTAACAGGCTCAGCATGTCTACCTTGTGGCCTAGATTTCTGGCCCTGATACAACATGTTAAAACAACAGATCTCCACAGAAAGAAAGACAATGCACTGGAAGTGAATATAGAACGAAAAATCATAAAAAAAAAATGTTGCTAGGAAAAAACTGTGGGTGGTATGCAGAGAAGTAGTGTTAAATCCAATTAACAGTTAAGTAAGAATATGTGCAGCTTCTAGGATGATCAGATCACCTTTTTTTGTGTTCCCTATCACAGATTTTCCTTTCTATAGTCTAAAAACACTTAGAAGCAGTAGACACACAACACAAGCAATACAAAAAATGGATTGTTAGCCTCATCTTTGTTGTGTAGTGTTGAGCTACACAGAGGAAGGTGCGCCATGAATCCTAAACACCTGCTGCATCTGAATTGTCATATACAGTGCATCCAGAAAGTATTCGCAGCACTTACCTTTTTCCACATTATGTTATAACCTTATTCCAAGATGGATTAAATTCATTATTGTTCTCAAAATTCTACAAATATTACCCCATAATGACAATGTGAAAAAGTTTGTTTGAAATCTTTGCAAATGTATTAAAAATAAAAAACAAAAATATCACATGTACATGAGTATTCACAGCCTTGCCTGGCCAAACCGAGTGATCGAGAGAGAAAGGCCTTAGTTAGGGAGCTGTCCACGAATCTGATGGTCACTCTGAAAGAGCTCCAGCATTTCTCTGTGGAGAGAGGAGAACCATCCAGAAGAACAACCATCTCCACAGCACTCCACCAATCAGGCCTGTATGGTAGAGAGGCTAGACGGAAACCACTCCTCAGTAACGGGCACATGGCAGCCCGCCTGGAGTTTGCCAAAAGACACCTGAAGGACTCTCAGAGCTTGAGAGGTACTGCAAAGAAGAATGGGAGAAACGGCCCAAAAATAGGTGTGCCAAGCTTGTAGCATCATACTCAAAAAGACTTGAGGCTGTAATTGGTGCTAAAGGTGCTTCAACAAAGTATTGAGCAAAAGTTGTGAATACTTTCTGGATGTACTGTATATGAGAGAACAGTGGTGGCAGAAGCACTGAGAGTGATTAAGTAAAAGCAACAACACCACAGTGTAAAAATACTATGTTACAAGTAAAGGTCTTGTATTCAAAATGTTACTTAAGTAAAAGTACAAAGATTTTAGTAAAAAATGTGTTTAAAGTATCAAAAGTACAAGTACTCATGCAAAATGGCACAGTTTACATTAATGTACACCATATTTTTGTGTATATAACATTTAGTGTTACAGTAAAAGGGGTGCTAGTTTTAACTACCGTTATATGCTTATAATTTGAATTAGTGTTGGGTAGCTTATGAATTTTACAGAGGATCAATAAATCTTGTGATTATCCTGTATTGTGTTATCATCCTTCTGAAAGGTAATTAGTAACTAAAGTTAAATAAATGTAGTGAGTACAAAGTACAATATTTTTCTGTGAAATGTGGTGAAGTTAAAGTATGAAGCAGCATAAAAAGAAAACAGTCAAAGTACAGATACCACCAAACTGTACTTGAGTAAATGTACTTGGTTACTTTTTAGCCCTGGCCTTACATCTATACATTGAAATTAGTTATGGTTCTTATGAGTGAGGACGTTTCAAAACTACACTGTTGGCTGTAGTCATGGCTGGACTTCCACGTAGCGTTCAGGACACCAGGCCAAAGTGCCAGCTTATATCATGGGTGATAACATGCAACCATTACATCAGCTGAATGGAAAACACACAGGGTACAGACTTAATCTCACTGCAAACACAAGCCAAATACGCAGTGTGGACTACTTTTAACAGTATTCACAGTCGTCTTGGTCTTACTGACAAGCCCGGGGGCTCTCAGTTATAGGCTATCGGGAAACAATGTATTGTTTTTATGTCATAAACAAACAAACAAACAAAAAAACGATTCCTAAAATTAGGCCAAATTACCCTCCAGGGTAGATGGGGAAGCCAGATTAAAACGGCTAATACACTCCATAAGTTTTAGGTGTTTATATAACAGCACGACGTTTTGATCACGTCGCACTCACCTTTGTCTCTACACCTGATTTAATCACCCCGTGTAATTTTGTCCTAAACCATATGCGACAGGCTATATCCGCATCAGAACGTAGGTTCCCTGTCCTTACTGCCTATATACCCGTAGGGACTTGTTATAGTAGGATTTCGAAGACCTTGATCCAAAACACTTACCTGGGGAGGCCAAGGCGTCTTTATCGGACGACGAGCTGTGTCTGTTCCGCCTGCTCCGCTTCTCTCGTACACCTCGCGGAGATGACGAGCTCCCTGTTAAGCACGGTAACAACAGCGTCTCTTCGCCGGAGCCGTCCGCCTCCAGCTCTGTCAAGATGCTTTCACAAGAGCCCGAAATACGAACGGCGACTCCAGGGTTCGCTGCAAACTCCAAACCTGTCCGATTCCTGTCAAATAATATCTTTGGAGGGTCCTGTAAGTGAAAGTTAGACTCCACCACGGGCTCCTTGGTCTCGGTTTGTGTCGGGTCGCATCTTGACATCATTGTCGCTCAGTCTTTAATACATACAATAACATTAAATTATACTGACGTCCTTTCAAACTGTCAACCTTCCATTTTAAAGAGGCTCTCTTTCTCCACGACAACATAAACCCACTAAAATTATTCTAAAGCAAACGCTTTCATTCTGCTGTCCACATAGACGTTATTCACCAAACTCGTCTACGCTGCTTCCTATTTGGCTCGACGCGCATGCGCTATTCGAAAACACGCCTTTTGTGTTAAACTGCCTTCAAGTGCTCCTCGGGAAATCCGAACTGTCGGAAATTAAAGGCATTAACAAAACGGACCAACTATGTCTAAATATTTCATTACCTTGTGTCATAAGTCCACTTCACAAAGATTAGGGTGAGCTAATATAAATCAAATATTACCTTCACGGTCAACAAGAACATGTTTTCCATTGGTGGGATTCTTTGCGCAGTAGTTCCAGCAATAAATAAGCGCAGCCTAAAATGTTCTGGTAAGGTGTTTTGCGATACGAATAATGATTGGCACATCATATATTGTTGAGAGACTGCAAAGGCCATAGCATATGATCCACATCGTCAATCAGCACTAGTAGTTTTAAGTAGGAAAATGGTTTATTTGTTAGTTTGTTTGTTTAACCATGCTGTATGAGCAATGGTAAGCGGTGCCAAACGGAAAGGCCTGTTGGATAAGAACTTTGAGAGACTGATTTGACAAGTAAAAAGATTATTTAGACCAGTGTTCAAGCTGTTCATCTTGTCTAAAAAGGGGCAAGTTGAAGACTGTCATAAGACAACAAGCCCGTTTCGTTCAAGTTCAAAGTGTTTATTTATCGTAAACAGTTAGGAAACGTGTTTCCCTATAAAGTGTAGCAAGTTGGTGGTTCGACTCCCGGTCTCCCCGCATGCCTAAGTGTCTCTGAGCAAGACACTGAAACCCGAATTGCTCCCGGTGGCTTGACTAGCGCCGTTGTGTGGCAGCCTGTCGTCATCGGTGTGTGAATGTTGCGTGTGAATGGGTGAATGGTGTATGATCTCCTGTAAAGCGCTTTGACCAGTGCAACACACTGGGGAAAAATGCGCTATATAAATACAGTCCATTTACAGTCCATTCATTGAAATTCTTACTTTGCTGTCCACATGAATGCCACAAAATACAAATTAAATATAAAGTAGATAAATAAGTAACACAAAATCTAAGGCACTTCAAGCAGCAACAAATGCAGCAATATAATAAAAAATATATAAGAATATAACAGAATGGGAGCAGCATGTGCAGCAGTCAACAGTCATTGTGCAATTATGCATGTGCAAACTGAGAATTTAATGACCAAATTCAGATTTGTTTACAACAAAAATACAAACAAACAAGCATATTTTGATAACTAATTCACCTTTACACTCCAGAATACCAGAAAACAGTCTTCTCCGTACACTAATTCGCGTCGTCTTCCTCTGATATGTAGTGACATTTAAAGCCACTAGATGTCGACAATGATTCACGACTGAAAGTTTGCCAAGCGTTGAATCCCCTGTCGAATTGCCTTTCTTCAGATACATGCTTTATTAATATTTTCTTTGATGTGGCCTAAAATACAGATCATATTTAATAATTTCTTTGTTACTAGCAAAGTGTCATCACTCCTATTGTCTGGCATAAGATTCATTAACTACAGGATGTCTGTGAAGCATCACAATGTGACTTTTTCTGGTGCAGTCACCAGATAAAAATAATGCTACATTTTACTTTGGCTGAGTTAATTAGACACTTTTTCATTCCTCTCCCATAAATTATAGCTCTCTTTTCTTTTCTATCAATTCTCTCAGTGCCCCTCAATCACCCAGAGGTCTCCCCAGCACCACGCTCTCCCATAACCCCCAGCCCCTCTCCACCTATAATATTTTGGCCCCTCCGCCACTACCTGTCTCTCTAAATAAGGCAGTGTAGCTGAAATACATGCAAATGAGAAGCCAGCCAGCTGGTATCACAGCAGTCATGTGATCTGTCAAGGTATGAGGTTAGGGGTGAAGAAGGAAGGGAGGGAAGGAAGGAGGGGAAAGCGCAGGGATAGAAGAGGAGAGAGGATGAAGGAAAAATCCAGGGGATGAGAGGGAGGTGGACAAAGACATGCTGCAGAGACACGCAGGCATCCCTCTGCTAGCCCTTTGCTAGATGTTAAAATAATTCCATAAGCCCTCTCTCCCTTTGTCCATCAGCTGTACTCCCTCCATCTCTACAATTTCTGCCTCAGCCGTCTTTACCCTTTATATCTGTATCGCTTCATCCTTCAAGGACATACCTGAAATGTCACTGGTCTGACACATGACACT